GAGATCAGAGTTTAGCGGTCTCTCCCCTGTCAGCTTTGCCGATGATCACCGAGTGCTGGCTGGGAATTGCCGGCTGGGACCCAATGATTGACACCCTCAGCTGCCAATAGTGGTGCGGGTAGGGCAGCGCACGCGCACCCTACCCAGAAATGCTAATCACGTGTAAATATACGTGATTTTGCGCAGCCGTGCCACCCTGTAGCAGTATATCTGCTATAGGGCAGATGGCAAGTGGTTAAGGTCCCCTTTCCATTGCTGTGAGATTAGTTTTTTTCATTAAAAAAGTTGATAAGGCTTTTGGCAGAACTTCTCTTTACTTGCATTTTTATAGTATATGTGAACACATAGATAAATGTTTTAGACTCAGTGTACATACTTTACTAATAATTGTTTTTATGTTAAATAAGTGCTGGGGACTCTGCTCATACCCTGGGAGCCTGTTCTACACAAAGGGCAGCGGGAAGGACATTTAGAAAGTAGTTCTGAGAACAGCTGCTGGTGATGGCTGACATAAGGACAGTGTGAAATATTTCTCCCCTGTGAATACATGCTAATGCCATCCAAATTCTCTGCCCGGTCTTGCCCTTTGTTCATCTGCTCTGCACCCTGATTGACAGAATCAACACTACCACTGATGGTTTTAGGGCCTTTTATGTCTAGAAAATGCTCCATATATCCAGTACTTCGCATATCTCTACTTTCTCAATATCCCCAAAAAGGGGATTTCTATTTAATCTCTCCTGTTTTGTTTGTTCTGCCTTCCCTACTATCCTTTACTGTTGATTTGGGGATACTCAGCATTTCCAGGCTCCAGCAGATTCTCCCATTTGCGGTGTCAGGTCACAGGACAGCGGTGGTGAGGGGTTTATGCTCGTGTTGCAGGACGCTTTGTTTCTATGCACTGACCAGTCAGTCCAATCACTACTATAAGCTCTATTATCATTCAGCTGGGAAATGTCTTTTTAGATTAGAGGTGGCTTAGCTGGTGAACTAGTGAAGTACACACAGTATATTCCTGCAGGGGCAGGGACAGATCAACATGCTGGAATCAATTTCTTTCTAAAAACACTAGTTACCAGGAAATCAAGCTTTCATGCTTTTTGAGCCAAAAAGTATGCAGATCCGGCGTTCTTATTCTACTCTTACAATATTTTACTTATTTTCACTGAGTGTGTCTTTGTTCCAAGTCAGGGACTCAGAAAGCACATTTTTAGAGAAAGGTCAGTGATGGTTGGTAGCCTCCATGCATCTTTCAGTACCGGTTTTCATTAAAGTAACCTTTTCCTTTAACTCCTCCCTCACCTGCAGCATGTACTTACCATTCCTCATTCCTGTGTGGCTCCGTTCAGCTTCCAAGCGCAAAGTGAAATACTTGGAACTTCCAGGTGTGGGTGCACATGTGACTCCTTCTCCCATACATGTTACATAGTTACATAGTTAGCCTGGCTGAAAAAAGACAAAAGTCCATCCAGTTCAACCATAAAAAAAAAAAGTTACAATCCTATACCCACAGTTGATCCAGAGGAAGGCAAAAAAAAAAAAACATCAAAGCACGATCCAATTTGCTCCTGCAGGGGAAATAAATCCTTCCTGATCCCCTGAGAGGCAATAGGATATTCCCTGGATCAACTTTACCTATTTATGTTAGCATCCAGTTATATTCTGTGTATCTAAGAAAGAATCCAGGTCTTTTTTAAAGCAATCCACTGAGCTGGCCTGAACCAACTCTTCAGGGAGTCTATTCCACATTTTCACAGCTCTTAGTATGAAGAAATCTTCATACTAAGGAGCCCAGGAACCTGGAAGGAAGGCTGGGTAAAGATGGAAGCCCTGTCAGTGGTGACAGCGCGCTGCTGAAGGGCTTCCTTCTAAGGTAAGTCTTTCATAATGTGCTAGCATACAATGCATACTAGCACATTTTGCTCTTAACGTGCAGGGGGCATTTTTTTTTTTTCTTTTGTAGTTTACTACCACTTTAAAAAACATACAAGCTGTTCTATGAATGGTGGTAGTGCCAAGCGAGCAACCCCCTGTGGTCAGTGTGCATAGGAAAATCCGCTCGCTTACACCAAACCTGAGCAGGACATGAAAGATTGTCCGTATCACTGTAGTGACACCAATTAAGCCTCATGCATACTGGGCATAAAAATGATGCTCATAGAGGTGTCACAATCATGGCGTCAGACCCCAGACCTTCTCACCAAACTCGTGACCGAAGGACTAGCCGATCTAAAACCGCGATGTCACGTGCGTAACAATGCCACACCCAGCTGCACCCTGCACAATGATTTTCCAGCTAATTGGACCACAATCTATGTGCCGGCAGCCTGAGCAATTGTTACTGGGTCAGGTTAATTACGCAATTAACCCTTCACACTGCCACCACCTCCATTTTGTACAGAGAAAGAGGAAACTCAGCGATATCAGCTAAAACACTATAATGGTTGAGATAATCGTCTGCATAATACTGTCACCACAGGCCGATTATGCAGAGGGTTAAACAAACACAGTAGCGTTCTCTTTAGAGGCAGGAATTCATAAATTGCAATAAAGCGCTATAGAAACAGTTCAACACTTTCAGAAGTAAAGATTTGTTACTAAAAGGTCAAACGGGTGCAATAAAAATATTTACAGAAAAAGATGTAACTAAGATATATATATATATATATATAAATGTACAGAGACTAACAGCACAGCAAAGAGATATCAGAGAGAGGTGAAAGGGTTAAGGTACTTGCCAAAGTCCTGGGTTAGCAGATCCAAGTTTCAGAGCGAAAGGGCACGGGTCTCACCAGGAGGTACTGATGTTAAAATGGGAGACGTCTTCAACCTTAGGCCTGACAGCCTATTTTGTAGTCCCCAGCAGGGGGTGTCTCTGAAGTCAAGGACCAATACCCCGTTTAGGGCGTGTAGGTATGGGTGGATACCTCAACTAGAGCCAAAATCTCATATTTTGGCCCATACCTTTCCAGCTGCACAAGTGACATTCCACCCGCGGGTAGATTATTATGCACACACGTCTGAGGATTAATTAGATATGAATTATGAAATTATACACTGTATGGTTCACGAGATCTACTTTTCTGTTTTCCTATGTATCCGAGACAATGCGAGTGACCTATCAAACTGTTTGCCTTCTCGTTGCCAATCTGACGATAGGTTCGGTTTTTATGTAAGTCTCTCATATTCCAAGATATGAGACATAGGGGAGAAAGGGAATTAGAACAAAGGTTATCTGATTCTGTCACCTACGCTGAGTTAGGTTTATTAGGTTGGAATTTCTTTCAACTCCTAGGAAAGCTTGCCTTATCTCTTCCGAGGTGTTACAATTTGCAGGTTCTTTGGACAGGGAGGCCCCGGCTCCCTTGGGGGGCTTTATAGCTCCTATGACCCTCCTGTGACATTCCTAACTCACACACATCTGGCCAAATGTTGCTGGGACTCTCCGATAGAGAGGAGGGGGAAGAATGAGGGAGAAATATATTTGTCAGGAGGGTTAATCCCTTTGCCAAGATGGAGGTTGAAGCCAAAATGGTTGAACCACGTCCATCTCTGAGTATACGCTGTTACAACAGGCTTTTGGTTTTTTTCTCAGCCTGTAGAAGCAGCTGCGTGTTGGCCTATGTGTCTATGCAAATTTGGGCGTTTTACAGGCATATTTCAAGAGGAACTGGCTGAACAAAACCCCATCACAGGTGCATTTTTGAGAGGAGCATTTGGACCGAAAAAATGCTTGACACACATACTTACCGTATGCATTATACTGAAAAATGAGCAGAGGGGAATGTTTTGGGAAAAAAATGCTTTTAAATGCAAACACGCATAAACGTGTGCAATACAAGCTGTTGTGAACATTTTTATGCTGCTTTTTTCTGCCATTTTCTCAGGGGTCTAGTGTGTGTGGACCCTTACTGTAGTGATTTCCTTCTTCCCCATCGGGTATAAGATATGCATACTTACGTAGAACCCTCCTAGTCAGGTGATAGGATAGGTAAATGTAGTTGGTGCTCATTGTAGTCAATAGGGTTAATTTGTTCTGGTAGGTAAATTTAGTTGACCCACTATACCCAGTGAGGCTGGTATTCTGTTGGGATTCATAGTTAAGTGTTAGTGTAGGCAAATTTAGTTTCACTCGCTGTACCTAGTGGAGCTGGGTTTGATTAATTTGGTCTGGTCTGTGTTCCAGGGGGCTGTTAGCTTGTCTCCCTGTTCACCTGGAGGAGCTCTGGGTAATAGATGGGAGCATATTAATCAGCAGTTTAATATTTATGGCGCCCCAGCTAATCCCTAGGAGGCTTGGCCTAGAGGATTCTGGGAGAAAGCATAAATACTGTGGAGCAGGGAGCAGCTGGGTCTTCTTCATGCCATGTGAAGATCACCATCTGCCATGTGCTTGTCGAGTGGAGGCCTCAGCTGGCAGTCCTGGAGCCACTGTTAAGTCCTCATGCACACCTTACAGCAGCTGTTTTTTGGCTTTTGACGTTTTTTTCTACAGCTAGTAAACCCCCCAGCATGTTATCCTATGTGTCCATGCACACATAGACTGTAATCAACGTTTTTTGGCTGGGACGTTTTTTGGCTGGAAAAAACTCAGGACTAGTGGGTTTCTAGAGGAGTTTTTAGCTGTAAAAATGCTCTAACGCCGAAAAAACACTGAAAAATACGGCAAAACACTCCAGACCGGTGTTTTTGGACTTTTTTGACCGAAAAAAAAAAAAATGTTTTCGGTAAAAAAAGCTAAAGACCGCAAACACAGAAAAATATGGGAAAATGCTGCTAATTGCAGCAAAATGCCGCTAAACGCTAATGCAAAAACGCTAAAAAAAGCTGAAAAACTCAAGTTTTTAATGTGACTTTACACAGCTAACATTACCAGGGTTATCAAAACACCCAGTGTGCATGAAGCCTTACTGATGAAGGGTGGCTGAGAGGGGTGTTGTCTGATGATCTAGTCTGCTAGCACTGGGGGAAGCTGCCTGCAGGATACTAGTACGAAGCAACCATTGATCAGGAGGCATTCTGTTAGTACAGCCTGGGAGAGATCCTAGAGACTGAGTGTTATCATTTCTTTTAAATTGGAGTTCCACTCAGGGGCGGACTGACCACTCGAGCACTCGGGTCAGTAGGGGGCCCCATGAAAAGTCTCTGGTACCTTTTTATAGGCTTTTTTTGAGCATGGGCAAGGACACAGGGGCCCATGATCCCCTATTGCCCGGGGGCCCCATGAGTTGTCAGTCCGCCCCATGAGTTGTCAGTCCGCCCCTGGTTCCACTCTGTAAAAAAATAAAAGTCAGCAGCTACAAAAACTGTAGCTGCTGACTTTTAAAAAACAGCCACTCACCTGTCCCACGATCCCACATTGCTCCTGCCGCAGCCCGTTTCACCAGCTTTCCTGTATTCCAGGCGCCAGCATCTTCAGTGTGGGCACCCGGCTGTGACAGCTTGCGGCTTCACAGCCGGGTGCCCACTGCACATTCGCGAGCAGCTCTGCGCTTCCTGAATGGCCCCATCATCTTCTGGGACCTGTCACGTGTTGCACAAGACTATGGGGAGGGAGGGGGGGGAGGACAACTTTTGCTTCCGATCACCTAGGCAATCACAGCGGAAGTGGAAGACGGAACCTGTCAATTTCGGGTACCCGCTCCCCAAAGATGCCTTAATGGGGAGCGGGGGACCAATCTTTAAAGTGGAACTTCCCCTTTTGGGTGGAACTCCGCTTTAAGTGCTAGGAGGTCAGCCAGGTGTTTTCTAACAGCTTAGGCTTCATGTACACGAGCCGCTATTGAACTCGAGTTTAGGAGCTTTTGACATTTTTTTTCTGCCAAAGTTCCTAAACTCAACTCCATAAAAACCTATATGTTCATGTACATGTAGGCTTTTAGCAGAGTTTAGGATCTTCCGCTTTTAGGTGAGGTTAAACCTCCCCTCTCTTGAACACAGAAGAATCACGTTCAGGATAGGAACGTTTTGACCGCCGACCGCAGGAAAACACCAAACGGTACCTCAGTTGCCGCATTTTGCAGCAGTTTTTCCGTGATTTGTGTTTTCCCGAGGCTGACGGATAGGGTAGGCTTGTGTTCATGAAGCTTTAGACTTGAAAAGCATAGCTGATCCATTCCTAAGGAAGGGGGGATGTTGCTTGGACTGTTCATTGAGGAAGGTGTAACCTCCTCAATACTGCTCTGCAGAACCTGTCCACTTTCTGCCACACAGGGACACTGTTCAAAATTCCAAGAGTTCCAACTTTCAAGAAGCAAGTTCAGCATCCTCAAACTTTGTTATATCTAGTTATTGGAGTATCCTACTGTCCCCGATCCCCATCCAACTTCAACCCTAAAATAAAACAACAAAAAAAAAAACAAAATCCTAGACTGTTTCTTGAGTCAAGAGAGAGAGAACATGCATGTGTGCCTGGCTGCGGAGCGATAGTGGGAAAATACCTTAACACCTTCGCTTACATTGTGCCAAACTGGACCAATGTAAGTATGCAGTACAGATCATTCCTAGAGTTCAGCTTTGGTGCTGGTCAGGGGCGGACTGACAACTCATGGGGCCCCCGGGCAATAGGGGATCATGGGGCCCCTGTGTCCTTGCCCAAACTTGAAAAAGGTACCAGGGGCAGCTCATGGGGCCCCCTACTAACCCCGGGCCCTTGGGCAGTGCCCGAGTTTCCAAATGGTCAGTCCGCCCCTGGTGCTGGTTCACACCGAAATTGCACAGGAACAAACTCCACGTTCATGTGCGATTCCTGTGTGATTCAGCTCAATGCGATTTTCAGCCCATTCATTTGCATGGGCTGAAACCTTAATGGATCACACCAAATGTACTACTTTTAAAAACTCACTGCAACCTGATCACATGGCAATGCACTACTGTGCGATCCAGTGCAGGCAAATACACTGAATTTGGGGTGTCTTTAGGATTACATTGACACCCACAGCAAATCACACACCCAGTGCGTTTGGAACGTGGTGCTGGAAACATGCACCTGTTCTGGTGTGAATGGGCCCTTATGCTGACTATACATTATACAATTTTCTGTTCAATTTCTGCCCAATTTCCTTTAGATTTACCTTCAACTATGTAGCGCAAGGGCCCGCGTAATTGGATACAACTGAAAGTGTTGTTTAGGTTTGACCTCCTATTATATGGTTTTTGGTAAATCTCAAGCAAAATTCTCAAGAAAATTGTATAATGTATGGCCAGCCTTAATGGTAAGCCCCCATGATCTTGTCACAGACTAGGAGAATTGCCAGTATTCTCCTAACAGAAGCAGGAAGCTGTAGCTAATATACTGCTAATGAAAACTTTCAACATTAGTTTTCTTAAATTGTTCAGCAGGCTACAAGGTTGTCTGCACATACAGACAGCAAATACTGACGGATCTTTCAGTCTCTCTTTTTGTGCTGGTTGACACTGATGCGAATTCTATGCGGATCAGATGCAATCCGAAAAGCGTAGATGCACATGTAATCTATAAAAGCATTATTTCCCGTGTAAATTTACCCCACGGTCCCATCAAGCCCGACTTTGAAATCATGCGACTTACAGTGAAGTCCCCCACAATTTCTAAGTCGGGTGAGATGCTGATTTCAGGTGCGATTTGCAAGACATCTGACACAGATGTCTATGCAAATCGCACCAAAAGTAGTGCATGTACTACTTTAGAATTTGGTGTGACTACGACCAAGTCGGAACCACACTGGTTTGACCACTGTAATTGCAAACAATAGGGTGCAACTTGGCATACGATTTGCAAGTAGCATGGCATGCAAATCGCATGCCAAGTTGCACTTGATTTGACCAGGGTGTTAGTGCAGGTTTGGTGTGAATTTCATCTCCTGCTATGCCCAGTCCCCTAGAAATCACATTCAGTTTGCACCTGTCACAGCAGAAATCGCACTGTGATACTGCACTGTGAAACCGCATCAGACTCACATCGCATAGGGTTGTCACCTCATCCCTTTAAAACCCGAAAACACATATTAGGGTCCTTTCACATAAACGTCCCAATTGGTTCCGACTGCACGTTTTTCAGGCGGACCCGATTGGAACCTCCAGTCTCCTCTATGGAGCGGCGGGTGTAAACGGACATGTGTCCGTTTACACTCGCTGACATCTGATCTGATCCAATCCGCCAAAAAGGGACAGATGGAGATCCAATTTCCCTTCCGTCTGTCAGATCGGATGAAAATGGACAGGTGATTAATTTTCATCTGACCCGCCCATTGAGGAGAGCGAGCAGCTCTGTGTCTGTTCTGCAGCAGCGGAGCAGACACAGAGCTGTCATTTGCTTGCTCTGCGGGGATCAGTGGAGAGACCCCCCACTGAGCAAGCGGATCCCCTAAAAGGGTCCGCCCCCCCCCTTGTGAAAAGACCCTTAATTACACAGGTCCTGGGGCTAAAGTAATGCAGATAAGGCACCAAGTGAGTTTAATTACCACCTTCATTAGCCCCAGAACCTTAATTTAGTGTTTAGTTTAGTGTTTAGTAACACTTTAAGTGCTGGTTCACACCGATGAGGCACTAGGGTTGCCACCTCATCCCTTTAAACCTAAACACATATTAATTACACAGGATCTGAGGCTAATTTAATGCAGATAAGGCACTAAGTGAGTTTAATTACCACCTTAAACAGCCTCAGATCCTGTGTAATTAATATGTGTTTAGGTTTAAAGGGATGAGGTGGCAACCCTAGTGCCTCATCGGTGTGAACCAGCACTTAAAGTGTTACTAAACCCAGGACCCTGCATTCACTATATCTGGTCTCCCACAGTACACACAACATGGAAATGCAATTATTTTGGTAAATATAAACTGCTATATACCTTTTCTCATCAGCAGTTAGAGCAGTCTTGTGACTTCTATCAGTGTCCAGCTGAACACATTAAAGCTTGTAAGAGGAGTTTTCATTCTGATTGCAGAACCTCTGACCTCTGTCTGGACAGTGCTGATTGGTACTGTGCTGATCACATGCACTCGCCCAAGAAAAAAAAAATCTCTAGCAGTACACATCAAACTGAGCATGTGCAGAGTGTCCCCATGAGTGTACAATTATTTTAATAAATATAAACTGCTATATACCTTTTCTCATCAGCAGTTAGAGTAGTCTTGTGACTTCTATCAGTATTCAGCAGAGCACTGGTTAAAGCCTGTAGGAGGAGTTTTCTCTAGGAGACTGCAGAACCCATGGCCTCTGTCTGGACAGTGCTGATTGGCCCTGTGCTGATCATATGCACTCTCCCAAGAAAAAAAAAAAATTCTCTAGCAGTACACATCAAACTGAGCATGTGCAGAGCAGGGGCAAACTGACCATTTGGAAACTCGGGCACTGTCCGAGGGCCCGGGGTCAGTAGGGGGCCCCATGAGACGCCCCTGGTACCTTTTTCATAGGCTTTTTGAGTATGGGCAAGGACACAGGGGCCCCATGATCCCCTATTGCCTGGGGGCCCCATGAGTTGTCAGTCCACCCCTGGTGTAGAGTGTCCCATAGAGTGTACAATTATTTTGGTAAATATAAACTGCTATATACCTTTTCTCATCAGCAGTTAGAGTAGTCTTGTGACTTCTATCAGTATTCAGCAGAGCACTGGTTAGAGCCTGTAGGAAGATATTTCTCTAGGAAGATGCAGAACCCACGACCTCTGTCTGGACAGTGCTGATTGGCCCTGTGCTGATCACATGCACTCCCCCAAGAAAAAAAAAAAACCCTTTCTGGCAATACACACCAAACTGAGCATGTGCAGAGTGTCTCCACACGATATGTCTTATCAGGAGATAAGAGGGAAGCACTGGAAGACGGGGAGGATCAGAGAAGACAGGATCAAACAGCCTTTTTACACGATGCAGAGGATTAACCCCTTAGGTTCCACAGTGAGTATAACAAGCATGCTTTACTGCATATACAGTCTGATTTTACTGTTGTGGGTTTAGTAACACTCATCAAGCATGCGTGGTTTGGGGGGGCATGTATGTGTCTGAAGGAGAGAGGAGGTCATATGTTTCTCTGCGGTATTTAGAGGTACTTCAGAGATTGCTTTCTAGATTTTTTTTTCTAATTGTTCCAGATGACAAGGACACAGACTGGACACCGATCTACAGATGAGTCTTTGCTTGTGTAGGCAACCTTTAGCTAGACAAAGAATGGCTTGGGACAGAGCCAGATATACAGAGGAGGGAAAAAATGAAATTCATGGCTGAAATCCAGAAAGCACCATTTTGCATGTGAGCTTATTAAGAATCCCGCCTCTCTCCCATCACCCAGCTGGCATGAAGTACCCCTCTGCATTGCACTGCATGCACAGTGACCCATTACTCAGGCTGCTGTATACAATGAAGGCAGCATGCTTTGTTACTGGAAGGGAGGAGGTGTTGCTTTACGTTTGTGGACAACGTCACCCTCTTTCACTGTCCCCATCTTTCCCTCTCATGACATGATATCAGATCTTCAGCAGCTCCTTCCAGTATGTGAATCAACTGCACTGACTCACACGCTGCTGACATCCTCCTCAGGCTGAGCTGTGACATCAGCTTCTTAAAATAGCGCCTGCTGCTGAACCGGCTGCCAGCCTCCTTCTATAGGCCCTCTGTGACTTGTTTTCTATAGGCCTCCTATTCGCTCCATGCTCTGTACATTTACAAGGCTCCACACCGAAACCCTGAACAGCTCAGCTTTCACGTTGTTCAGGGCTGCTACGTTTTACTATTTCTTTTTCCATGTTCTTCTGGATTGCTGGTCCTCATCCACCCACAGTATTTCCATCTAGTTATTAACTTACAATTCCATGAAATCATTAACCCATTACTACGAAGAATCATACAAGCAGCCTAGAATCTTTTAAAGCAATGCTAAATGTTATCCCTTTTTCCCAAAAAATATCCATACACATCCACTACCTAATGGCCCTGTAATGTATTTTGCATGAAATCATTTTTCTGTCTCCTTGGAATGTCCTCCGTGAGCTCAAAACCGCTCCTTTTCACCCTTACGTCTGTTTGTATGGAATGAGCAATGTGCATTAGTTGTGGTCATGTACTCTGCTGCACACTCAGGGGCATATTTACAAAAAGGCACTTGCCTAGGGCGGCAGCTTTCAGGGGGGCAGCACCTCCCCCCAGAAGAAGGGATGAAAGAAGGGACATGGGAACCAGGTGAGGCTGTGGGTTGCTTCATGGTGTATGTAGAGCCTGAGCCTTGTTCCTAGGGAGCTGTGAAGATGAGTGTCTTTTTCTCTATCGCCAGGGGGGAAGTAGTGGAAGGCTCTCTTGGGTGGGGGGCAGGGGTGTTGTTGGTCAATGTCAGCATTGTCAGGTTCTCTCTGCGGGAGGGGGAAGGGGGGGGGGGGGGGGGGGGGTGATGTTGGTCGTTGTCCGTGTGGGCAGACGATTTTTGTGTTGCCTAGGGCAGCACAAAACATAAATACACCACTGTGCACACTACAAATCCTATAATCCAGGGGTAGGCAGACTTTCAGAGGTTGAGATCTACCTAGACAACAGCGATGGGCCGAAGTTCACAGTCCAACTTTCATTAGGTTTGAATGTTCAACCATGAACTTCAAACAGGGACAATATACTGAGCGGTTATGTACCGCATGTGAATATATTGTAAGATACCGCTCAGCTACTAAAATACCACGAGTTATACTATTAAGTCATGCTGTATTTTAGTAGTGAAACATTCTTTCCTCGCTGA